CCTGTTGGCAGAGGGTTCAAAAGAGAATACAAGGAGGGGCGCCTGGGTGGTTCAGTCGGTTAAGCGTCCAACGCTTGATTTCCGCTCAGGTCATGATCTCAGGGTCGTGAGATCGAGCCCTGTGTTGGGCTCTGTGCTGAGTGTGCAGCCTGCTTAATACTCTCTCTTTCCCTCTCCCTCTGCCCCTCCCTTGCCCCGACTTGCACGCTTTCTCTCTCTCTTCCTCAAAAAAAGAAAAGAGAGAAAATACAAGGAAAGCATAAGGAGTGAGCAAGTGCAATCACCTCCTTCTAGGGATTTTGCAGGACAGAGGAACAGAAAAAGGGATAGCTGGAAGGAGATCAAGGGGCCAAGGGTTGTTGGTTGGTTGTTAGTTTAAGTCAGTGATTCCAGCCATATTTCCTACCCCGGTCTTTCACACAAGCTTTAGACAAACCGCCCAGAAGCACCCTTCCCTACGTTCTCCGTCCCCACCTCCCGACAGCATTCACCCTGCCCGTCCACAAAGGTCAGGAACACGTCCCACCTCCTGCATCACCCCAGTCGTATGTGATGTCTCCAGGCATATCAGTTTCTACGTACAGGCGGAATTTTCAAGAAATTTTTTACAGGGGAGGTTCAGTTGTCACGCGGCTCAGCGAGGCTCTCTGCAGCCCTCTTGGTCAATGTGTATCCGAGCGCACAGTGTGTTTATACCGGAGATCAAAACTACACAATGTTCCCCTGACGGCTTTCAGAAGGGAAGCAGAACTTCTACAGAAACTATAAAGCTTCTTATTCCTTTAGATCCTGGAAGACAGTATTCGATAGTAGCAACAAGAATAATATCTTTCACTTGCCTTTCCCACTCTAAAAGACATGGCTAGAAGCACCAATTTACGCTCAGGGATCACGGACCGGTATTTATTTTTAAAACTAACTGAAAAGCCTCAGCAGTTACTGGAAGACTTCTCTTTGAAAACATCAGAAGTTGGGCAGGAGTAGGTGGGTAGGGTGAAGGAGCCTCCTCGTTGAAGATGTGGCAGGCTCAGTGAAACTGCACCAAAAAATAAGATGTGATTAAGAGCACGACTTCCCTCACACCTCCCTCAGAGTGCATCACGGCCAGGAGGCCAGGGCGCTTTCTCTAGATGCCTCCTGCTGCGAAGTTTCCTCAGAAGCACTCACTGTCGGTGCAAAAGGCAAGAACAGACAAGGCATTTCTGCTCAGGATGAAATACAAGATGCATCCTAGATGGCCTCTGAAGAAATTCTGAAGAGATGTTATCAGAGCTTCTATTATAACGAGAAGGCTAGAGTGACCAAAAAATCACGCTCATGTATGGCTAAGCTGAGCGAGACAACAGCAAACACGGCTTGACAGTTTCGACAGCAAGTACAACAGGGCATTTGCACCTCCTGCCCTAATCCCCACCGAGGGCCTGCGGCTGCTAAGCACCCGGATCTATGGGCCGAGACCCTCGTCTGGAGAGGAGCCCGGGGGCGGGAGACTATCGCGATACAGTATGAGATCTAAGAGGCTACGTGCGGCCGGAAAGCCCCGCC